AACAGCAGCAGAGACTTGTGCCCCCAACTGTTTTTGTATGATAAACATTTGTATCAGGTCAACTAAACATGGTCATAGTAACAATATTTTATACTACATTTATCCATTTTATATACACTAACCTCACTCCTTTGTAACAACTAAGACAAAAATGTAATTAATTCAGAAAATCTTTTCACGACCCCACCTTGATGTTTAGGGACCCCACTTTGGGTCCTGACCCCAACTTTGGGAAACACTGTCTTAAAGGATTATTGCCAAGTCTCAAATATTGAGTTTTATAGATACTACTGGCATTGGGAACTGAAATGATGATGGTCTGTTGCCATTGGAGTTATTCCAGCAGAACAGCCAGAAAACTACGTGGATGCACCCCAGTTCCAGACATTGGCACTTCATTGACTATGTTTAGGTTTGACAGCGGTATATAAAGGACATGCCTCTCACCAGAGTAATGCCCAGTGTGGAATGCAACACAAATCACAATCCTGTCTTCTACAAAGTGTTCTGACATGGACAGATCTTTGTTAGGAAAGCGAAGCCTCTCATCTGGTTCAGATGAGGGTTATTGGGATTACAGCTTGACTGAGGGTTGAAGCTGCTGCTCGATTCTGATCGACTTTGAGTCGATGGAGTGACGTCTTTCAGATTTTACGAGTTTAAACAACACAAGGAGGGAGCAATATGTTGTTCACTTGAAGTGTAGAGTTTAGCAGAGGAGTCCTAAAATATCCCCTTTACATTTTGTTTGCCTTTACCTCAGCTCACAGAGCCTTGACCTCTTTTCACAAAGTAGATCCACCTGTAAACACGGCTGGCAGAAATGTGAAGCCTGGCGCTTTTGTTGTTGTTTACTACGTGTTTCAGATGTTCGGTGTCATTCTGTTGTGTCTGAACTTGCACCTTTCCTAAAAACAGCCCGGAGATGTATGTGACTGGAATCGTTTGAGGGCCTGAMATTCTTCTGAATGTCAAAAGGGAGAAGAAAAATTGTTTTGTAAAATAAAATGCTAGTTCAACACTATATCATGTATCATATGCACATTTCAGCCTTCAAATACTGCRTGTGGTGTTTAAAGCATTTATTACGTTAAATGTCAATTTGAGTATGTCTGCTTTGTGTGTTTGTGTCTGAGATCTTTATCTTAATGTTGTAATCTTCAGCTTACATCACTGTTTGATCTGCCTTATATAAGAACATCATCACTCTTTGAAATAAGCAGCCTGTTCTGCTTGTAGTTTGCCTGCGTGTCGATTACCAAGACTTGAAAAAGATACTTTTAACTGCGACAAGAAACAGCTTGATGTCTTCAGTTGAGCTGTTAAAGAAAATAACAGTGCGACTTCATACAAATCAAATACTTTTTCTTCTGAACATTTCTTATAAACCRTTCCACATTTATGCCATGAATACTATGATTTTGGTATTTCACCAACTTATACTTTTTCAGCTATTTAGCGTTTTTCTTCTATTTTTTTCCCTCATTGAAAATGAATGAAGCTATCTTCAGAATCTTTCAAACTTTTTAAAATGTTTCTAAAATCTTTACTGTACTTTTTATGTTTTGTTATGATCCTGCTTTTTTACTTCTATGCTAATTTGAGCTGCCTTCTTTATGGCTAATTATAGCTGAATTTGTGAWATATTGTGCAGCCCTACTTTCTAGTTATTGTCACCTAATTTTAGCCTTTTCATCTAAATTCATCTTTTTGATCATTTAAGGTTCTTACCATTTAGTTCAGCAAATGTGCTCTTTCTGCGTCTTTGAGTTAATTTCAGTTCTTTAATCAATTTTCTGCTAATTTTGGCATCTTTGGCTATTTTTACGACAAATTTCAACTTTTTTWMYYCYTTTTTTGTTTCCCTGTCAAAGTGAGCTTTTTACTCTCTGTTCACCATCTTGTCTGCTAATTTCAACTTCTTTCTGCTTCTGTCTACTTTTGTTTTCCTACTTTCAACAAAAGTCACTTGTTGCAATTWAACTGGCATTAACAGTTTTTCTAAACATTTTCAGCTTCGTCAGCAGCTTTCAGGAAAAAAAACATTTCAGCATTAAGCATTTATACTGCATTTTGGCAGGAAATGCAAATTCTCTAGTTGCAGTTATATCTCAGTATATATACTCAGATCTTTTTTTCTGCTACTGCTTTTCCTGTCTGGGTTATACACAGACTTTATCTTTTTATAGTTAATGTTAGGCCGGAGACGAAGTCATAGACAGGTCAGTATAAAATTAATCCACCCAGACCAGACCAGGCACACACGTAGAACAGTAGAGGAAGTCTCCTCTCAACCTTAAATATAAACAAGTGGAGCTCTTGGGTCTGACCAGGACTCATTATAAGACACGTGTGCAGCCATGCACGCTGCCAGCGGGTAAATATAGCTCCAAAATTGGTGCCTGGATCCAAAACCTGCAATTTTGAYGCAGACTCCAACTTGACTTTTTGGGTTTTTGCCTGGATTGTGGAGGTTTATGTGCGACAGCTTCCTGGTGCGGTTCTGTTGGACCTTCCTGTTGGAATAACTCAAAGCCCATTGTGTGTTTGAGGAGCTGCTCTTCTCTGGGACACAAGCTGCTTTTGGTGATYTTTCAGTGAATTAGCAGCAACTGTTTTTCTGGGATCAGAGAAAGATATGAAAACAATTGAACTAATAAAAATGTAGCATTYAGCCTAAACTTTCAAAGGCTTTGAGTATGTTTGAGTCATTTTTTCTGTTTTTTCTTTGTGCATGGCCCTTTAGTTCATGTTAAATGTGCTTTATAATAACATTAATTTGATATTTTTAAAAAAAACTAAAGTGCCGTGCAAGTTTACAACTTTTTCACAATGAGCTTGAATCATTGGTTTGATTTCGTTTCCATAAAAGTGACCTAAAAGTTAGTTTTCATCAATTTTGACAGTTTGTTACCTTTTATTTTTCATTACAACTGATTACGAAGATAAAAAAAAAAAGTTTAAGAAAATTAGTTTGAACTGGATTCAATTTT